CAGGTGCGGGGCCGGGGCCGGGTTCGGGGCGGTCGAAGCCCCCGCTGCCCCAGCGCAGGGCCGGCGGGTGCGTGACGGCTGCCGCTCTTCCCTCCGCAGGTGGCGGCCATGGAGCACCGCGGCGCCTCCCCGCTCCTCCTGGCCCTCGCCCTCCTCAGCGCCCTCTGCTGGCGGGCGCGGGCGCTGCCCCCGCGGGGGGCCGCCTTCCCCCCCGTCCCGCGGTAAGGGCCGCGCTCGCTCCGCGCTCATGCGTGCGGGTGGGGAAGGGGACGCGTGTCCCAGCGGGACGCGGGACACGGCGCCCGGCCAGCGGAACGGCCTCGGGCCCTCGCTATCGCCGAAGGGCGGCCGGGGCACGCCGCTGCTAAAAAGCAGAGGCAGAAGCGAACATGTTAAAAATTCCCGAATCGCGAAGGAGGGGAAGCGGTCCCCGCGGACCGATGGGTAGTTTTGGCACTGCTGCACGCTTTGAATTGCTCGGGTCGTTCTTAGTCGTCCAACTAAATTACATCAGATGGCCGAAAGGTGCGGTCTCCGTGTAGGTAAGAGTAGCATAACGTGTAAGAAGACCCATGAAAGACGGTATCGCAAAACAGCACAGTGACAGGTTTTCAAAGGTGTGACTTGAGTTGGTTTATGTCACACAGCAACTTTACTTTTTTTACCAGACACGAGTCTTGCGTGCCTCAGATACGTAAGTAGTTCTAACAGTTATAATGACGGTAAAATTGCAAGGACAATAGCCTGTCCTAGTTTCGGTACGTGATTTTTGCACAGCATCACACGCAGGGGTTTACTATAGCGATGGGAGCCCATTGTCTGCCACAGAACATAAGAGCAGCTAGAAGAATCTACGGCTGTGCGGTCAGATTGCCCTTGATGAAATATGACACATCATAAGAAACAGCAGTTTACGAAAACATGAAGTAACTGTAAATCAGTTTGTACAGAGCGATTGCCATGATACATTTTAAAAGGTGAAATGTGAACCTTTTTTAACTTGCAACTAGCAAATTAATTTAAATGTGAGAGAATAAAAACATGCAGAGATACATGACTGCACATCATTTTAGTCTGAAGTTCTTGAGGGTGTATTTACTTTCTTTAGAGAGCTATTTCATACTGCATTTCAATGCACATTTTCAGTCTTAATTGGAAGGTAAGTACTTCACAGGAACTGTTTTCACTTTGCGTGGGTGGAGGCTGGTAATTCCATCCATCGTTTACATAAAATAAAGTTGTTATGAAAATCTTCATGGTTGTCCCTGGAGCTGTAGCCGCCATACATTATGCACTGTTCACTGGAATAAATTGTGTGCAATAACAACATGTATCTAGAAAATATGCATTAGAGAGAAGGATCTGTTCTGTCAATGTTACTCTATCACTGAGCATGGATTATACCTGAAAGTGATTTTTGTTCTATCCAGACTGCTTTAAAATGCCTTGTGGATTAAAGCAGGTAGATGTGCATTTTGACACAGACCAGAATGTAAGCTGCAGTGAAGTGTTGCATGTCCTCAGCTACCTGTACTTCACATGGTTTCCTTCTCCAACAGACTGGGAAACAGAATGCCATTTGATGGAGCCAGTGAACCTGACCATGCCCACGGGTCATTAAAGTCTGAATCGGGCATTTTGCAGAACACACTACCTGAAAATGAGAAATTCTATTTTGATCTGTCCAGAATTATTGATAGGTGAGTTTCTTTATTATCATAAATACAAATGATGATGCACTACTTGAATTATGCCTAAAGATCAGTCACATTTTCAAACTGAGAAATAGGAAAGGAAGAATCAGTTACAGAAGAAAACCACATGACCTCTGACTGAATACTTGTAGCAGTAGGAATGTCTGCAGAAATGTTGATTGCGTTGCCGTTCTGGGATGATGAATTCATTCACTTCCCAGGAAGGGCTAAAAAGTATAATGTGAAAATCTGGAATTTGTTTTATGAAATTAGCTTCATTTAACATGTAGAATAGATAACTTAAGGAAAGCAGTATGTTTACAAAATGAACGTTATCAAAATGATATGAACCCAGGTTGTATTGTAGAGTTTATTTATTGTCCATTTCAGAAATGCAAGGCATGCTGATGGAATTTTCACCAGTGTCTACAGCCATCTTTTGGCTAAACTTGCTGTGAAGAGATATCTGCATTCGCTTATTAGAAAACGAGTTAGGTGAGGTGACACTTACATTAGGCAGAGTTTTTTCCTAGCTGGCTTCATTGGCAATTTTTCACCCTTCTGTACCTAAGTTCTCATTTTTGCAATTTAGAGATAATGAAAGAGAAACTGATATAATGATGGGGGAGCTGAAAATCCTATATAAGAACTTAGTGGTATTTGTTACTAAATGAATACTATTTATTCCTGATACAGCTGTGAGGGGTAGAGCAACAGACAGTGCACATAGCATTGATAATAAATACTGGCAATATTATAATAATTATCACACCAATTTGCTAATTTTTTTCTCTGGTACTGTTTTTATTAGCTTGGCAGATGAATGGCACAAGTAAATACAAAATGATTGATTACTCAGTACTTACATAACAACAGGGGAAACACTCAATGAAATTAAGAAACAATTGGTTTACAGTGAAAACATAAAGGAGTGTTTTTTTTCCTACTGTAGAACATATTGCCAGTTGTTTGGGAGATCTGTATTATAGAAAGATTCGAAAAAGACTGAGGCAAATCTGTAGACAAGGGATCTGGATGCAACTCCCAGACCGGGACCCCGTTCATAAACTAATGGTTGCGGGATGCTGGGACCGATCACTGCATACTTCCCTTGTTTTGATATCCCTAAGTGGCAGCTACTGGGCACTCTTGGGAACAGAATAGTAGAATACTTTGGTCTGACCCAATATGACAGTTCCTTCGAGTGCCTACTTCATATGCTCAAAAGCTGAGTGAAAATGGGGTCCTGCACTTATGTCAATGCTGCCTTTGTCCCAGAACATAGAGTGCCAGTTTCTCGTATGCTATAAACTAACACAGATCACTTAAAGCAGAACACACTGAGGCTTCCCAGGATCGTGCATGAAAAATAAGCTTCCAAGTCTGGATTTCACAAGGTGTGTTTTGTCTCCTGACACCTCTTTAGAACAAGCATTTGTAGCTCTGTATGTGATGCTACACTCCTATTTTCCTCAGAGGCAGGCTCTGTCCTCACTGAGTTTGGTATGAACAGTGACCAGCTCCTTTAAGACCTTCCTGTGACTTAAACCAGTCTGCACCTTGGCATTGTACTAAAACATATTTACATAAATGATAGAAATCCAAATAAAGTCAGTTTATTAAAAAGAGTAGTAACCTGGGCTATGAGAACAGACAGGAGGGAGTCGTGGAATCCACACTCAGCCATTTAATCCTGCAGAATTCCTGGGACAGGGGTGCTAGAAATCACTGAGTATAGATCCTGATTGCATGGGCCATGGCAAAGTTGAGCAAGAGAAACAAATCAGTGGAAGGTGTGCCCAAACAGACTGAATAACGATCCTTAGAATTTGATCCTTGTTACTAAAATATGTAGTAAGCAATAGAAACAGTGGCTTCTTTTCAGCAGATGAAAGATCCAAAGTCATAGCTGAAAATGAAAGCTGAAATGAAAATATGATTTTGTTTACCTAATCAACATTGTAACTTTGTTTCACTCATTTAATGGTATCTTCTTTTAAACGGATATAGTCTATAACTTTTTTTCTTTGTAATTGTTGTATTGCCAGCTCCCAGGAGAGTCCTGTCAAACGCCACTCTGATGCTGTCTTCACTGACAACTACAGCCGCTTTAGAAAGCAAATGGCTGTGAAGAAATACTTAAACTCAGTTTTAACTGGAAAAAGAAGGTACTACAAGAAAGCAAATATATACTGTTTCCATACTTGTATGGTATTAAGACAGAAAAGACTTATACCTACGTATGTATACAGAGAGGACAAACAAAAGGCAATGAACATTATTGACTTTATAACGTAGTTTATAACATGGTTTTCAAATACAGACAGCATTTTCTTCCAGACTGGAACAGACACTACAGTCAGATTAGAATAAAAGAATAAAGAGGACACAGCATCTGACAATTTTAAAAAGCTTCTGACAGATTCTTAAAATGGTTTTATTTTGTAAAAAAGCCTCTTAAGGAAAAATCCACAGAGCTATGGAACACGAACAACAACTTTGTAAAGAAAATGCACTATTTTTGAAAATTTGCCTTAAGTAAACACATAAAATGAAAATTTAGAAGTCCCAGAAAGACCATATGTCCTAATCAGTATAGGTGAGAAGTGCCAGCATAGGTTTTTGTAGAGCTTATTTTCTGTTTGTATATTCACTCATTTAGTCAGCTGCTTTTAAATATCATGTCTCTTCTCCCATGAAACATGCTATTTCATGTGATTTATTACACTTTGGTGTAAGTTTAACAAAACATACAATAGCTACAGTTAGAAGGCAGCTTTGCTTGCTTGTTTGCTTTTTCTTCTGAGAACAATAAAACTTGTTTCTGATCCACCACAGCCAGGAAGAGCTAAACCCTGCTAAACTTCGAGATGAAGCAGAACTTCTTGAACCTTCCTTTTCAGAAAACTATGATGCTGTAGATGAGCTGCTGAGCCACCTCCCACTGGTATGCCCAGATTTTCTTTCCTCTTGCTATCTGTTACTTGACTGGACTCATAAAATGAGATTAATCATACACGAATTGTGGTCTATCAGAAAAGCAGAATCATCTAGGAAGGAGCCGTGTTCTGTGAAACGCTGCATGTTTCTATAGGGATTGTGTCTGATTATAATAATCATTTTTGTAACAATAATTGTTATCCCATGATTCCTGTTATTGAAAATTCCTAATTAAATGGCACTGTTAATAATGCACCTAACTCACTTGGGTGTTTCAACTTGTGTGCACTGTAGCATAAAACCAGAATTGACTCATTTTTAATTACAAAGATTATTATTTCTTCAGATAACAAACTCAAGGATATTTTTTTTTAATTATAAAAAAAAAAAGCTGCACATTTTTTTTTTAGCATCTATTTCATTAGAAGGGTGTTGCTTCTAGAACTAAGAGGATCAGCAACCTGAACCCTAAGCATGAAGAAAGCACTTGACTCCTGTCTAAGGTGTGCTGCAGAGGGATCATCTGCCATGCAAATACTGCAGTTACTGTTTTCCATTTAGCTACTACTATTTTTCTAAAATCATTCACAAATATGTTTCTTTGTTCACTGAAATGTAAACCCTTATACATCACAGCACTTGCAGGCACATAAAATTGAAAGGTTAACGTAGAAGTGAATCAGGCTTGGTATTCTCGAAAGTCTATTATGAAATTGATGATAGGAGGGGTTTTGGCATTCAGCTCTGTCTCAGCTACAAGTAAGAAAAAAGGCTACTCTTGAGGATAACACTTTTTTTTTGGGGGGGGGGGGGGGGGGAGGATGAAAGAAAAGACATTTCTCCAAACTCTTGTTTCCTTCCAAGACTGAAAGGCAATGTTCTTTTCCTTTCCACAAATGTGGCAGTAGCCCTAAAGTTTCCAAAGATTAGAAAGGACACAAACTGCTTAGGCCTCAAGGAACAAAATAATTTGTAAGTGATGGGATTCAGGAAAAAAATGTTCTTTCTAGACAAGATTATTGCAAAAATACCTGCTTCTGGATTTTGCACCTTCTAAAACTTCTAGCATTGACTAAGTGAGGGAAAGTAGCAGTGCAGCAGGTCACGGGTGTCTTCCTGGAAATATTTTCAGTCCTTTCCTTTATTGTGTACTGTACTGATGTTCCAGACCTCCCTATAGGTGAATCGCGTACTGAGTATTGACTGTTACTGGTCATTTTATCACAGCGCCCAGTTGCTGATGTAGTGTGTATCAAGCAACCTGAATCTGTGTATGCATTTCAAGGATACAGTTGTTTTCAAAGTGAGCTGTTCTGGCTATAGGCCAACATGCCGTAACATTTTTGCCTAATCCTCCAGTCTTGCCTGCTGGCTGTAATGCCCACCAAGCTCCTGTGAATCACTCCATCCCATGCTTGTCAGTTCCAAGCACAGCAATTGTTTTATACCAAGTGTTACTTCTTGTCTGCTGTCTGCTTCTGTACATCTCAGGATACAACTGCTTATAAAAATGACTTTTAAAATGTATTTCTTCTTTGCTTTTCAGGACCTCTGAGGGACACCTGGTAAAGTCTATGACAAGAACAAGCTATTTTTGAGTTCCACATAGTATTTCAAAGAGATGACTTCGGTCATCAAACCAGAACAAATATGTTGTGAAGTGAAAGTTGTGATATATTTGTTTCTTATGTAATAAAAGTTGATATTTACATTGTAAATACTACTCTAGAGTTCTCTACTGAAAGCTGTACATATGGATGCCAGTTTAACTCATGAGAAGTCTGTGAGTCCATATGCTGTAAATCCTTTACTTCAATAAATTCATTTGAAAATGAGTGTGCAGCTGAAAAGAGCCCATCATTACTAATTAATTGGCTTATTTTAGGTATGGTGCAACATCAGATATGCCTGTATGATAATAAGGATGCACTTCCAGATAGTTCATAAACAAGTGTAAAAACATGAGGAAAAGTATGTGCAAAGTGTGTAAAACTGCATTACAAAGATCTCTGAAAGATACTGCCAAGCAAAGGGGAATGCTTTTCTAGCAGCTTACCAAGCAACTTGAGAAAGCAAAAAAAAACATTAAAAATTATTTGACCTCTGACAGCATCTTTCCTTCCTGTTCGTTCACATTTTAAATATTTCACAATATACAAATTATATTAAGACCTTTGTTTTCAGTTGTGTTTTGGATGCTCTGGAGCTGACAAAGCACACAAAGAATGTTATCCCTTGATTCGTTTGATGCCTAAAGTCACTGGTCATTCTACGTTTAAATGTCTGTAGCTTTGATGATGAAACTATTCCTTATATATAAGATCTGAAGACATTTTACTATTTTTTCAGAATGACTGTCATTTACAGAATATGCAGACAATAAATCATTTTATTATCACAGCAAACTATTACTGGTTTGAATCAGTGCTACAGGTACCTGGAACAGTAGAGGTCCCAGTAAGTGCTGTCTCTACTATAGTAGTAATAAAGGAAGATATTATTTTTTAACTGAGGTATACTATGTTGTATTAGAAAGACAAGCAAGTAAGCCTCCAGTCTCCATTTCTTTATATCATTGTGGCTTAGTATGGAGCTGGAAACTTGCAGCTGATTCACTGTTGCTGTGAATCAGAATCTGACTGTATTTTATTAAAATCGTAGATTTAACCTATTGGATCATTTTCTACAGAATTATTTACTCTTGTAAGGACCGATGGTTCCACTGCAGTAAGGAAAGTGTGTGGTACTGCATGCACAACATATGAAATGCATATTCATGCATGATACCAGCCATAACACTCCCATGACTCCCCTCCCACCTCCTAGAAAGAGATGAAATTTGAAGTAGAAAAACTTATCAGTCCTACTTACAGTTCAATTTGGAATTTCAAGTATATTTATATATCATACATATGCACACATAGACAGTGATAAAACTGATTTACAAGTTTCACTTACAAGTTTACTGTTCTCATTTAGAAGGAAGCTTTAAACATGATAAAATTTGAGATTTATGGAGACTAGTTCTCATAAATATGTAGCCTTCTGAATTGCAATTTTTTTGAATATTGGCAACTGCTTGTCAAAAGAAAACCAGCTTGCACAGATCAGATGCTATTATTGCTATTTCTATCTAGCCTTGACAGAATTTGATTTAGCCAATGACTGGTTCACAAAAGTTAGATGTAATTTTGAAGTCTTCTCTTGAAAAGTGGTCTTCTAATGGTGGTCCACTCTCAATTCCTATCTTATTATGAAAATTTGTGAAAAAAATAGGTGCAAAAGTCACTTTAGAAATATTTGCAGGATACTAACAGTCTGATGCTATAGTATTTAATTCAAAATTTTCTTCAGTGTCGTTGGAACTTTGTTAGAATTTCTGTGATAAGTAATCTTAAAAAAAAAAAAAGTGAAAAAAATTAACCAGAAGCCAAGCTGCATGTGGTCTTCCTACACAGAACTTTTTGTTTAAATGTATATAATGTTCATTCACTCCATTTAAAGTAACAAAGATTGGAGTGAACAAACTTTCGACTCCACAATTCCAGAAATCTTTTTTTTTTTTTAATTTGCCTTTTTTTATTTATTTCCAGTTTACCAATAAGGCATCTGATGGAAGAGCTTGTCTTCCATGTCTAATGTTTAATGTCCCCAATATTTTGTTCTCCATAGAAAACTGCAGAACCTTAGAACATGTGTTTTCTCCGTTACAATGGAGAGGGAGTGGGTTACAGAAAAAAGGGATGCTTATTAAGAAATCATATATATATATGTATTATAAAATATGAAATTAATACCTTCATTGTAATAACTCAAATAATACTGTGATTGCTTCCTCAGAAGGTTAGCAAATAGAGACAGTCTAAAAGGCATGCTAAATTTTATGTACGTTTTAGAAAAACTTAGCACTGAAAGGAGAGACACTCATCTCCAGAGTAATATACCTGACTTGGTATTTGTGTTAAAGGATGGCTTTTAACTTGTCATAGCAACTTTTGACATTCTATAGGAGACATAAGGCCCAATTAATACATTGAGACTAGTTAATTGTGGAAGATGTAACACTGATCACCTCAACTCCATGGGCAAGTGGTTATGGTAAGGTTAAATGATAAAATTGAAGAGAAAATTGCAACATTTCACTGAATAAGAGTAATTTTCAGTCTGTCAATGAGTCTTGACACATGTCACCAACCTTACAACCCATCTGCAAAATGTCAGAAGAGTGGAATCAAAGTGTTGTGTTAATTAGGAGAATGAAAGGGGCAGCTCCAAAGAGAGTATCAAGAGGTCTTCTAGGAGGAAAAGAAATACCCGGGAGAATCAGAAGAGCATCACTGGCAGAGAGAATGCAACCACTCAGGAGGAAAGAATAATACTGTGAAAGGTTATCAGGATATATGTTAAAGAAACATCTCACCATGTTTCTGCAGAATGTCACTTCTAACACAGGGTAGGGATACTTGTGATCGTGGAGGATAGAACTCATTATTTTTTGTGTATTCAATGGGGTTTGCTTTTCAGACCTACCCCATGGAGCTCTTAAAGGGGCAGAATTGGCTTTAAGTGCATCTTTACCAGCACTGGAAGGGGATATTTTCTAGTCCTGTATCCACAGAGAGGATGTGCATGCTTGTGTGCATCTGTACAATCATCACCCACGCAAGAGCAGCACTCAGGATTGTGTATAAGACCATGAGAATTACAAAAGTTGACAAAACATTTTAAAATTTCAACCAGTAAAAACACAGTAAAAATTAATAAAACCCTAACAGTTCCTCTGATATTTTAAATGAGGTTGAGGTGCTATGAGTGTTTGTTCCACCTGAAAATCTGAGACAAAATTTCTTTTTAAAAATAAGAAAATGCGTAACTTTGATCCAAAGCATGGGCATAACTTCATCTATAGGAATACTGAATTCTCCCCAAAGACAGACCTTTGGGGAAGAGTTGTACGTATACAGGAACAATTTATTTGCTTGCAAGGCATTAGGGAAAGGTAGATGGAAAAGGCTGTCCATTGCCTCTTGTGAAAATACCTATACTTCCACTACCTCTTTTATTTTTCCTTATTTTCTCCCTCCCTCCTCCAGTTACTACAAGCTTCCTCACTTTTTGTTAATAGTCTCACCCTTGGCTTGCAAAGCTAGTGTATGAATGTATACCTATGTTTTTGAGAGGAACAATTACAGCAGACCTTAAATTTATGGTGCAGCAATCTAATAACTGCCAGCCTTGGTTGTGGAGATGAGTTCTGCAGAGAACCTGGCACAACCAGATGTGCAGGAGCAACCTGTCCTGCTCACAAAGAGCCCCTGACTTCCCACAGGGGATTTCCCATTTGGTTTGTGCCTGGTGCAGAAGGCTGACCTTTCCTTGGATACATCAAACAGAACGTGTGGCCTCCTGGGGCTCACACTGGCTTGGGCAACTACAATATTTTCAGCTTTTCTCATTTCTGCTTTGGAACAGTCACAGACAAATTGCTTGCCAGGTTGACAAGCTGGTTTAGGATTAGAGGTAGGAAACTAGACACCGGGTCTTTTGTACCAATCTTTAAAAAAGTCCTAAGAATTATTTGATGCATCTTCTGCTTCTGAAGTAAACAAACAGGAAAAGTTTTACTTCGGTTTTATACACAGATACATGCAGGCCACTTAGTAGGGAGGGGAAAAAACAGCTTTCCCTTGTGAGGATAAGAATTTTCAATAACTTAATTGATTGTATTGGTTCTGGCTGAGATGGAGTTAATTCTCCCCATAGCAGCCCTCGTAGCGCTGTGCTGTGCATCAGTAGCTAGAAAGGCGGTGATAACACACCAGTGTTTTGGCTGCTGCTGAGCAGTGCTGGCACAGCATCAGGGCTGTCTCTCCAACATTTTTGCCCCCCCTCAATGGCAGGCTGGGGCAGGGCAAGATCTCGGGAGGGGACATAACCAGGACAGCTGACCTAAACTAACCAAACAGATATTCCATACCATATGACAGCAGCTCAGATATAAAAGCTAAGTAAAGGGAGACAGAAGGGGGCATTTTTGTGTCTTCTGGAGCAACCACTACGCGTACTGAAGCCCTGCTTCCCAGGAGGTGGCTAGACATTGGCTGCTGATGGGAAGTAGAGAATAACATCATTCATTTTTCTTTGCTTTCACGCACGACCTTTGCTTTCACTTTATTAAACTGTCCTTATCTTGACCCACAAGCCTTTTGTTATATTTTCTCCCCCCTGTCCAGCTGAGGAGAGGGAGTGATAGAGCAGCTTTGGTGGGCACCTGGCGCCCAGCCAGGGTCAACCCACCACATTGATCAACCTTTGTAAATAAAAATATGATTGTTTATTCAAAGATTAAGCTGAAAGTGATGTAAACCATAATGGTACAGTGAAAAAGATAATTCTCTTATCTAAATAACATTGTCATGGTGAGAACAATATTTTCAGTAGAGCATGTTTTTGTGAAAGAATGGGGGGTTGTTTCAATAATGAGGGGAAAAAAGGAGAAAAGAGTCCTTGTCCTTCCCCACTGAGTGAATTATTTTGTACTAGATAGAGTTTTGCATAGGGTAATATGCTTAAAAGAGTGTGTAAGGTTGGTGTGTAAGATCCATTTTCTGGATCTTTTCTGGAACCGGCCTGGACATTTAGAAGCCCTATTTCACATTTCAATGAGACCACAGCATCTAAGAGCCCAAGTTATTTCCAAACATGGGATATAAATGCTTTTAATATGTTGATCCTATTACTTAATAGTTGTCAAGTCAGAATTTGTCTTAACCAACATATATCCTCTTTTTGGCATGGAGGGAAAGCAGAAAAGAAGCTAAAAACA